AAGTCCAAAGCATGTAAATGAAAGATTAATGAAATATAAAGAAGCACACACTATAGAGGATTGTTGTATTAGTTAGGTTTCTTTAGAGTAACAGAACTTTATAGAAGGAATCTGCCTCTATATAGAAAGGGGATCTATCAGAATGACTTCTAGGCTTTGGTTCAACTTATCTAACAATGGCTGCCTATGAACAGAAAGTCTAAGAATCCAGTAGTTGTTCAGTCTATAAGGCTGGCTATCTCCGCTCATCTTTAGTAGACACTAAAATCCTGAATAAGTAGGTTCTAATGCCAGTGAAGGAATGATTTTGCTAGCAAGGCCAGAGCAAGCAGGCGAAGAGCAAAAGCTCATGGCTTTCACCAGAAGGTGTGATCCAGATTAAAGGTGTGTCTTCTCGCCACAAGATCTAGATTAAAGGGGTATCTTCTCCCAGCTCAAAAGATCTAGATTAAAGGTGTGTCCTCCTACCTCAAAGATTGGATTAGAAGTGCATCTTCTAGCTGGTGGTGGCGCACACCTTTAATCCCAGCACTTGGGAGGCAGAGGCAGGCAGATGTCAGTTCTAGGACAGCCAGGGTTGTTACAGAGAAACCCTGTCTTGAAAAAAAACACAAATAACCATAAACAAAAGCAAACCAAAACAATAACAACAAAAGGAAGTGGATTTATTTTTACTTGTGGTTAAGCAGAAATCCCTCACAGGTGTGCCCTTCATTTTTGGATTTTAGTTAATTTTAGATGTAGTCAAGTTAACAACCAAGATAGCCATCAAAATTGTAAAAGTTAAAAGTTGGTGTTTTGAAAGGAACAATCTAACATATGTCAGATATCAGATGAGATTAATGAAGGAAAACTCCAGCAATGACACAAACAACATGGGGAGTGGGGAACATAGTTACATATGCAGAGGTTAGGATGATCATAACATGATCAATTGCCACATCAATAAATTTGAAAATTTAAGTATAGTGTACAAGAATCCAGGGAACCCAATTTTTCAGAAATAGCTTACGAATTAGCAAGTCTGAATAGTCCTATAACAAATGAATGGAACCATTAGCTATAAATCTTATTTCCAGATGTCTCTACTAGAAAGTTTTAACTTGATATTTCAGAAAAAAATTCTTTCTCTATATAACCTGTTCTAAACATAACCAAGAGTCATACGAGAACGGGAAATCATGACTGCCATTGTCATCTATGAATATGGTTGCAAAACAAAATATTAGCCAACTCTATCTAGGAGATAGAAAAATCTGAGCAATTTGAATTAGGATTTGCTTTCATGTTAGAAAATCTATAATTTTAGCCATTTAGCACATTACCATATAGGAAATCATAACCATCATATGACTGGATGCAATTGCAGTGCTAGTTAAAACTCACCATCAAGTTATCATGGGAAAATATCAAAATAAGAATAGATGGTAAAATTCAGAATCTATTAAAGGACATCTACAGTAAACCTATGGAAGACACTGTTGGGTGAACCCATAAATATTTCTCTTTGAAGGAAAGAGGATGATATGCCCTTCGTTGCCATTGTAAAAAAAATGTTTTGAGACTGAGTCTTGCTGGATAACTGAGGTTGGCCTTGAACTTAAGATCCTATTGTGTCAGCCTTCTCAGTGCTAGAATCACAGGTGTGAGGTAGCACTGCCCAGCTCCCATTATCACCATTTAAATTCTACCTTGGGATTGGAGAGATAGCTCAGTGGTTAAGAGCATTAGCTGTTATGCAAGAGGACCTGGATTCAATTCCCAAAAACTTAAATGGTGGCTTACAACAGTTGTAACTCCAGTACCAGGGGATTGACACCCTCTTCTGGTTTCCATGGGCACTGCATTCGTGTGGTTCACAGACATATATGTAGGAAAAACAGCAGTGCACAAAAAATAAAAATAAATATTAAAAATAAGTTCAGTTTTATAGTATGTGTTAGGTAAGTATGCATGACTAGAAAAAAGTAGTAAGGGTACTGAAAGAGGAAACAAATCTGTTAATATTTATGATACAGTATATTTGGTTTCTCCTAACTTTAGTATTTACTAAGGAACATAACTAAATGCATTTTCTTAAAAGAGTCAGAGTGAAGAGTGCATACAACCCTATGTTACTGTCTTGCTTCTTGGTCGTGAGAAACTACAGTATGGCGCTCTCTCTCTCTCTCTCTCTCGCTCTCTCGCTCTCTCGCTCTCTCTCTCTCGCTCTCTCTCTCGCTCTCTCGCTCTCTCTCTCTCTCTCTCTCTCTCTCTCTCTCTCTTTCTCTCTCTCTCTCTCGCTCGCTCGCTCTCTCGTGTGTGTTTACTTGATTGAGACAAGGTCTCATTATAACTATCCCAGGCTGACTTCAGACTTGTAGCATACTTCTTGCCTCAGCTCCTGAGTGCTAGGATTATAGGTGTGTACTCACGTTAATTTTAGATTCCATTTTAAATGATCTTAATGTTTTATAACTTAAATTTGTTTCTTCATATTGGGAGCAGTTTTTCCAGTGAAGCCAATCAATAAAATTGAATAATTATATTTTAAAAAGCATAATCAGACCTGGACATGGATATATGTTATTTCTCTAGTAGCTCTCAAGACAGTGAGTGGGGTCAGTCATAGGGCCTCCTCCTTTTTTTGCTTCCTGTCTCTCAGACGTCACAATTTTTGTTGCCTAGTTTTCTTGTGTTTCAAAAACTTTTCTTATCTGTTTTGTCCCGGTATCATGAGAATTGTTGTTTCATGTTTTTCTGTGTTTGATTGTTTCAGCTGGGTGAGGACATGTGGTCTTTATTACTCCATCTTGGTTGGAAGTTGAGTCAGTTTATTTAAATGGCTTATCATTTCTTGAGCAGTTCTTTTTTGATAACTGCACTGTTTATTCTAGTACAATTGTGTGGATTTTTCTTCAGAAATGTGCACAAATCTTGCTCGTCTATTTGTTTTAAGAGTAACTAGTAGTAATTCAAAGGCCTAGCCTATGAGGACCTGTACATTAGGGGCCCTGAGATGTGTTCTCCTTATGGCTGTGGACATTCTCTTCTGTTGCATGCTATTACTGATGCCTGTTCAGCCTGTGGAGTTATGACTCACTGATGTGTTTTACAAATTGTAATGAAAAGCAGATCCTAGGTGGGCACACCTGGTTGTACAATATCCATGCCCTAGCCAAGCAACATAATTTCATCCAGAAAGGCCAAATAAGTATAAAATTGCAAGAATATCCATGCTCTTGATATATTACTATTACTTGTTTTTTAAAAATATAATACTTTCATTAATTCTATGAGAATTGGATTCAGTGTATTTTTGTCATATTTAGTCCCACTCCTCCCTGATCTATGACCTACATTCTCACTCTCCCAAGTTCATGTACCCCCTTTTAATAACCCACTGAGTTTAATTTGTGCTTCCCAAATACTCCTAGGTATAGGGCCTTCTACTGGAGCATGCTGGCCCTACCAAGGGCCACATACAAATGAAAACTGATTCTCTGTCCTCCAGAAACCATCTACGGTCAGTTGATTTTCATGAGCTCTTTCTCCCTCCATGCTGGAATGTTGAGTGGCTTGGCCCTGGGCAGCTCTTGGGTAGCAACTATGGCTTCTGTGAATTCATGAGTGCAGCAGTCCTGTCAGGGGTGGAAGACACATACTGTTTTGCCTTTGTTCTCCCCAACCTCTGGCTCTTACAGTCTTTTCTTGCCTCTCTTCCATGGTCCTTGTGGGGGCTACTTGATTTTAAGGCAGAGAATATTGTCTAATATTAGCACAGTTATCACAGATTTCTGAATAAACTATGTACAGTTACATAGAAATGGTGTTTTCAGGATAGTGTGTAAAGAATGAGATTTAACTTGCTAGTGTATGGTTTTAAATTTATTTCTTGTGTGTGGTCATGGATTTTATTTATAATTCCATAGCAGCTGTTTATTTGAATTGTTAAGTTAGAATTCAGATGTTCTTGGTTTCCTTATATATTCTTTGTATCTTGTAAAATTGAGGAAAATGTTAGACTTCAGCTTTCTTTCAAAAGATACTTTAGATGTGGTCAGGTTATTTTAGAAACATGTTTACTTATCCTTAATAGTAATGATCAGAGAGAGAGAAAGAGAAATCCTTGAAATAAGTAAAGTCAGTCCATCATTTTTGTTTTTGTTTGTTTGTTTGTTTCTTCAGAGATAGCTGAGCTGCTGAGTTCAGGCCCTCTTCCTTTTCTGCAGCCTATGCACTAAACTAATGAGCAGTAATGGCTGAAAACTAGTGAGAAATACAAGGACACAAAGAAGATTGCTTCTGAACCCATTTATTTGATCCCGGTTTATTTAAAACTGAGTAATTAGCATCAGAATAAGGACTCAGCCACATTTTCCATGCGAAATCCAGTCTTTTGTTCAAAAAAATGTTTTTCTTACTGTTTTATCCTGTCCTAATCAGTACCAGTTATATAAAAACTTGAATTTTGGGTAAGATGAAAAGGGGATCAGAAATAACATGCACTCTTTTTATTGGAATATATTCATTGTATGTTAATTTTTTTTTCAGGTATATCATGTGCTTTGACTATGTTCACCCTCCCTTTCTCTCCTGTTAGCCCCCCCCTTTCACCCTCCTGGTGCGTCTGCTCTCTTTAGTTTCCCTTCTACTCCCATGTGTTTATGTATCTGTGTACAATCTAGGATCCATAATGGGAAAAATCATGTGGTATTTGTTTTTCTGAGTCTTATTTCACTTCATTTGATGATTTTTACTTGTACCCATTTTCCAGCACATTACATAATTTCATCCTTCTTTATTACTAAGACTACATTGTGTATATATGCCACCGTTTCTCTCTAGTGATGGATACCTCAGCTTATAAGATAGTTTTGCTATTGTTGAAAGAATTAAGCCTTCAAAGGGATTTACTAAACTTAAGCATGTTAAATGCCATCACTGTTATTAGTTGAATACATTTTTTGTCTTTTTAGGGGAAGGTGGTTCTTAACAGTATTTTTTCTTTTTTTTTTCAGCTGCTAACTCAGGATTGTTACCCCCACCGCCGGCACTTCCTCCAAGACCTTGTCCAACACAGGTAGGTGACATATTTTATTTCTTCAAGCTGTTGTCCTCCCACTATGTTGCTTTGCAATGATTACTAACCACATTGGAGTCACCAGATCATTTCTGGATTAAGAAAATAGAGAGCAGCTAATTTCTCCAGTAGCTTCACAGCCTCATGTGGAAATGGAATTTCTTTAGTATGCGACCAGCCACACTTTCAGTTCTCATTCTTGATGGTTTTGTGGTTTTTCTACACAAGGAGATGTAAAAGGAGTATGTCTGTAATTGGGGTCAGGGTACATGGCTTTTCTGTATAGTACGTGCAGCCTGGGTAACCATATGTTCAGCAGCAGTTTAGGAGCTGTGCTAATTCCACACACTAAAAGTGACCCTTAGCATGGGGTTAGTGCTATGGTTTGGGCCTATAGTACTTTTTTAAGGATGCCTTTTCCACTCAGATTAATAACCTGAAACAGCTGGAGAGGAATAGTATGTTTTACCTATAAATTAATTTTGCCATCTTTGCCTGTGCTACCATGGCCTTCCCTATCAAAATTTGAAAATGAGAATGGGTAGTAAATTCATGAAGTAGTGTATACAATGATATAGATCACTCATTATTACTACCAAGGAAACTTCTGTCTTTAAAGAGCCCTTCTAGCTGTTAATGGAAGATTTTGGGAATTTGCTCTACAGTCGCAGTTTTTATTTTGCTACTTTGTGGATCATAGCATCGCTCTCCATGTGGCTAGTCTCAGGATCAGTCTTGAAAACCATTTGCAACATTTGCTTGTCCTTTCTTCAGACAGTTACATGGTCTTTATCAGCCACTCAATCAACAGATGCAAATACTGAAGGGTTATAGAGAGCCCAGTTCTTCCTGATCTGCATATAAACAAGTGAGAATGCTTAAAGCTCTAAGAGAAATTGATCTTAAAGCTTCAAGAGAAATAGTGATAATTGAGTCGTACTGTTTGTCTAATGTCAAACCTTAGCTCTACCCCAAGTATTTCTTTTGTTATACTTTGTGCTCTTTCAAAATTATTAGTTGTGTTAATTGATCATCTGCATGGAACCGAACATTGCACTAATCACTTTAATTCATAATTTCATCCCCCCAAACCCTTATAAAATATGTACAAATATTATTCTTTTTTATTGACAAGAAAATTGGAGCATGCCAGGTTTAATCAAGTTAACCAAGGGACCATAGCTAGTAAATAGTAGAGCCCCTCCCAAACTCAAGTCTTTACATCATCATTCTCTCAGTCCTGGGAGTCTAAGTATATCTACATCAAGATAGAGAGTAGATCTGTTGTGCTCTCTTGGAACTGAGACTTTCTGCACACCCTCCTGTAGAAGACAAAAGTTGAGACTCCCACATTGCAAACCTGGGCTTGGTCACAATAACATTAGAAGGCATTCTGGGATGCTTATCTGGAAAGCACTGCTGCTACCAGCTGTCATTATCAGAGTTGGTTGCCTGGAGCATCTTGCGTGCTTGGGACTTAATGATGGAAGATTTGACAGGGAGACTGGGGAGTATCAAGTCAACATTAATGAATAAGTCTGCTTTATTGTCTACCAAATTTCCCAGAAAAGATGTAAGCGCTGAGCCCAACATTCAGCCCCAACTTGCAGATTTCAGATAACAGGAGCAGGTGCATAAGGAATGTAGGCAGAGAATCCCCAGACGACTTCCCTCCTCTTGCTTTCCTTTGTTCACTGTAAGTGGGACACATCTATTTAATATATGAAGTCCTGGGTAATAAACATGTGGTTGTATTTCGTGCCATGCAAAACTAGGAACAGCTAAATAGCCACCTGCGTGAGACATCAGAGTGTTTCCAAAACTACTTGGGATGAAACAATCTGGTAGATATTAATAGGGCTCTGTAGTAAAATGAATTTGTAAGCCATTTCACCTAACCCCCACTAGGACATTGACAGTGCACACAAACCCACTAGAGGCTATGAAGTCCTATAGCAAAACACAAAACAAAAGTCAGTTTTGTTGAAACTGACAATTTCTTAGCTTGTCCAACCATCTATTTCTAAAACACTTATTACTGTTCCAAGGGCTTAGTGGTTAGGAAACAGTAGAACATCCACCTTAAAGTCCTGCTTTGAATGTTACCAAGTTGCTCTCATCTGCTACCTCATTTCTATATTATGTGATTAAATTTACATTCTACATGTTCAGTAATAGCTTCCCTCAAATAATTGAAAGTAAAAGCTGATTGAACATGCCTTGGCTTGGACTTTGCAATTGTCCGGGGTTTCAGGTTATTTCATTTCTTTCTCCACTTCTTTGCTTCTTCTTGTTCACTCTCTCATAAGATCATTTTTATTGTCTCATGGCATATTCTATTATAGAGAACTAAACATTTCTGAATTCTTCTTTTGCTCTGGTAAATGGTTTTTAATTTTTTTGCTATATATGTCCCATCAACCTGATCTTAGAAATACACATGTGATTATGGAAATATATCCATAGAGACTCTTATGAGGTTTAGATTCAGTAGCACCACCAGGCACCTAGGAGAGAAACCAACGAGGTACAATTAAAGTTATTCCATTTATTAGTAGTTATAAATGAGACTTAAAAATTCTCTAGATTTTTTTGGATTAAAAGATTTCATGTTATGTAATGTAAATAAGACTAGATTGTAATAAATAAGAAAATGTTTTATTTTCTCCAAAGGAATAATATCTTTAATTGCATGTAACCAGTCAATATTGACATGCTTCCATGTTCAGTATGTTCTACAAAAAACAAAAGTATCTATGTAGGGCTAGGAGCCCTTGGTTAGCATATACAAAGGTCCTAGATTCTATCTTCAGCACTGCAAAACAAAATAAACCAAGAGACCAAATATACTTTTATCATTTGAGAGAGATGAGGCATGAAATAACATTTATCTGGCTTCTCTTACATCAAGTTCCACAGTGATATGAACATCTGGATTAGGTTATGCATATGGGACTCCAGTGTTAGGAAAGGGAATAAATTCAAAGAAATACATCTTAACTTTTTCCAAGTATAGGTAAAATTGAGGAGTACAAAATGAAGAAAGAATCAGGTGCTTTGGTTCTTCATTTTCCAGAATCCAGGATATGACTCATTCTAGAGGAGGTGATTTTTTTTCTGCTTAAACGACTTATTCGTAACACAGGCAACCAAAGGCAATTAGAGTAAACCATTTCATGTAGAGCAGTGTTAAGTAAGAATTAAATTTGTTAGCTCACATATAAATTAAGGAAAACTCCATCCGTAGAGTTTGCATTTGCCCTATAGGTCAATCTCTGCTAAGGGGTTACCATTGTTTTTAACTTTAGGGTTTATCTGATACTTGAATACCTACGTTCCTTCAATAATTGAACTTATGCCAAATTTATTATGGAAATTGTGATAGATACATGGTTTTTTAAAAAAGATTTTTTAAAATTTTAAAACGATTATATTTTACATAACAATCCCAGTTCCCTTTCCCTCCTGTCCTCCCATGCCCCCCACCATCTCCCCATATCACTCCCCATCCAATCCTCAGAGAAGGTGAGGCCTCCCATGGGGGATCTTCAAAGTCTGTCACATCATTTGGAGCAGGGCCTAGGTCCTCCCCCATGTGTCTAGGCTGAGACAGTATCCTTTCATACGGAATGGGCTCCCAAAGTTCATTCGTGCACTAGGGATAAATACTGTTCCACTACCAGAGTCCCCATAGACTGCCCAGGCCCCCCAGTTGACACCTACATTCAGGGGGCCTAGTTCAGAGCCATAGCTTTTACATGACTGTGTTTAATAAGGAAAAAGTTGGTATATGTGTTAAGTTTCATATCTTTCAAGTTTGGTATCTTTCAAGTTTTCTATCAGTATTGTAGTTAATGAACTGGGGCTTCTTCTAGATGAATGTGCCCAGGATCTTTCCTATTTATAACCCTCATTTCCCTGCTTCTCACAGCAAATGCTCCTCATGGCAGGGTTTTGATTACTAAAATAGCACTGGAAATGAAGGCAGAACTGCCATCTTAATGCCTTTGACCTCCAGACTAAGAAAACTCAGACATTGAGTGGGGTGCCTAGTATTAAAGTTGTATAATTTTTAAACATTTTATTATCATTTTTATGTTCCAATTCTCCCTCCCTCCTCTCCTCCTGCTCCCTCCACCCCCCTTTCCTCCCATCTGCTCCTCAGAGAGGGTAAGGCCTCCCCTACAAAGTCTACTATGTCTGTCCCATCATCTCGTTGAAGCAGGACCAGGGTACCACTCCATACCACACCCCTGTGCTAGGCTGAGCAAGGTATCTCTCCATATAGAATGAACTCCACTAAGTCAGTTTGTGCATTAGAGTTAGATCTTGGACCCACTGCCAGTGGCCTCATATATTGTCCCAGTCACACCATTGTCACCTATATTAGGGGAGTCTAGTTTGGTGTTTTGCAGGTTCCTCATTTGTCAGACCCGAGTCAGTCATCTCTCACTAGTTCGGGTCAGCTGACTCTGTGGGGCCCCCATCATAGGAGACCCTTTCATTTTAAGATGGCTGAAGGATATAGAGCTCTACTGTAGAGGAAAAGTCTGATGCAAAGAAACAGCTGGAGGTCCTGGGACATTTAAGAAGCTGTGATTCAGGAAGACAGTTATCAGGGAAGAGAGCTCAAGTGGGTATTGTGGAGGGAGCAGGGAGGAGCAGCCCAATGCTTCCAGAGCTGTGGGAGATTAGTAGTCCTCAAAAGAGAGTTCTCTCTGGGCATAGTAGGGGAGAGCCTACTACTGTAATTTTGCTAAGTGAACCAATCTTTAGCAATGCTAGATACATTTCTAAGAGAATGATATGGGGCTCAGTTATAGTTCAGTGGTAGAATACTTGTTTATCCTGTGCAAGTCCTTGGTAACATTCCAACAACATTAAAAAACAAAAACAAGGTATTATCTCATTGGCAACTTTCAAACATCTGTGATGAAATAACAAGAAAAAATATTTAACATGGGCAGTATAAAATGTTGCTAATTTTACATTTTCATGTG